GGAGCTTCATGGGGCTTGGGGATTTCACTGCTGAGCCCTGCTTAGATTCATCTGAAGATCTTCATACAAAGTGTTGGACCCTTTTGGAGATTTTTTGGTCCTAGATACTTAAGTCCAGAATTTGGTAAAAGGATGCTTTTAGCACTGCTCTCCTATTCTGTGTAACTCCCCTAAGTGAGTCTGCCAGCAAAACATCCTTGTGGATCTATCTGCCAGGCTTTTGGGTACCCTTGGCATAGGCACACAAGTTTGATGATTAAAAATTTGAATATAGGTACCAAAAGCGATAGTTGAGTTAAGCTATTATCTAAACTGTTTACAGCTCCTGCCCTTGGTACCACAGTACTCCAGCTCTCCATCTTCGGTGTTGGGGTGATGGTACCACATCCAACCTGACTGATATTGCATGTATTGGGAGATGTTCTTATCCTGTATTAATGAAGTGAAGCATGAGACTTCAAAGCCTGAGTCTCCAGCATGCACAGATTGCAAAGATGTGTTATTTGGCTGCTTATTTCTGAACATACAGAAATATCAGTTGTGCTTCCCTGCCCAAATCTGAGAATTTCCTGAAGTTCATCAAAATAAAAACATCAATATCTAGAGAAGCTTTATTTATTGGATGACTAAAAATATTTCAAGGAACTTATTTAAGTATAAGCAAGCAAGTTTTACAAACTGAAGCTATAAAATGACAGCAAGGTTGTCTTAAAGCTTCCAAAAGTTTTCCTAGAGAATAGGAAATCTCTAACATGCAAGCTATACTAAGTGCCTAGAGTATATAAACATTTTCAGAAACATAACAAGATGATATAAACAAATCTAACATTAATGAATTGTCCCAATTTTTATATGTCAGGAAGTCAGAGATAATGAAGGGCTTGTGATCCAAGTTTCAGCCACAGGAGACTACCATGGGACAGATGTTAAAATGTTTCTGGCATTTCATAGACATGGATACTTGTGTTGGAGAAAGTTATATCATTTTAGCTTACATATTTATAATTAATCTCCTTTTGAACAGCTTTACATATGAAACAGTTATGAAAAATACATAGTTCACAAAAAATGAGCTCCTGGGGGGATCCTCCATCTGCTGAAGTCAAAGGCAAATGATGTGCTTTAGCTTCAGTCATGATAAAACTGTATGACACACATCATGTTGGATTTCAGAGTGGATGGTGTGATGACCCCTTATGAAAAGGCTTATGGCGATGTAAGCCTGTAGAGAGTGCAGGAATAGTGGATTTGGCCCTGAATMAAATACAAAACAAACCTGCATCTCCAACCATTGCAGAGTTTGCCCAGCAGCTGGGCTGAAGTTACAGGTTGGAAAGTCATTGTGGCAGGATAAAGCTATTTTCATTCTAACACAGATTGCCCACATGGGGGAGTACAGTTTTTCTGCAATGGTTCTGCTGCTGGTCAATTTTCCTTGAGCAACTACAGGTGTGACATAAACTTTTCTTTCCCCAAAAAACCTGTACTTTGCTGAATGAATGACTGAATATGTGGATTAAATATTATGCAAAGGGAAAAAACCCATATGCAAGATGKTGCTCCTGGTAGTTGCTCTGGCTAAATGGGGTAATAAGTCCCTGAGAAAAAAAGGGTTTGTWGAATTGGTATACATTTGTGTTTCCCAATGGACATTTGTGTGTTTGCTATCCACATGGAAGTCTGACTGCTCGAGATCTCACTTTAGAGCACCAAAGTGCTTCTGTTGCACCATGGAAAGAACATCCCTKTGTGTTTCAGGCATTTCTGAGCCTCACTACCTCCCAGTCCCTTCAGAAGCAATCAGGCATTCTCCCTCTGCAAAAATCTGAGCATCAGGTGGGTCGGTAGATTATTGATACCCTGAAAAGCAGTCACTGCCAGTCAAAAGCCTTCTTCAGGCTTTTGCAACAAAGGCTGATGGGCTTCCCCACTCTGGGTTTTGCCTAAAGCCATGAGAGACAGTTTTGGTTCCTCACCTCTAGGACCAGTGTGTCCAGTCAGATTTACAACTGAGAAGAAGCATTACTCAGGCATTACTCCTAAGCATTACTCCTACTACAAAAATCCTTATGACCACTCATTTGAAAGCAGGCTGCAAATAYTAATTTTATTTGTCCTCTAGGCACCTCTGAAATGTCTAAGTTAATACTTCATGTAATGCTTTGCTCTTGTTTTTTCAAGCGGATTTTATCCTTCTGCAGCAGAGCAATGTGTATCATAGAAGAGATAAAGGTCTTCATTGATTTGCAAGGCTGGTGAGTGAAGAGCAGGGACACACAGAAAAAGCCGGAGGACTGTGAGGTAGGAATGAACAACTTTCCATCCTTCATGATTTTTAACCAGGTTATTATATTTTCTTGTTCAGGAAATCCTTCTTTATCTCATACAAAAAGAACATTTGAACACAGCAAATTWATTTTTGTGGAGAATAAAACCACAATGTGATACTGAAGGAAATAATTCTGAGCAYTCTTCTTTGATCCAGACATTGCCACTGAGAATGGAATAAGATTTTTAAATTTGTATCTCTCTAAAATAAATATACATGCTGAAAAAGAGCAAGGTAAAAGAAGACAGGCACTAGACTAGAAGTCCAGAGAGAGTATCCAGAACTGGTAGAAAATTTTCAAAGCTGAGATTAAATGATTCCTCATCACAATAATCCTGCAGTGTAACCAAATAAATGTCCAGTTTTCACGTTTTGGAAAGCAAGTTGCCTGTTTTACAAAACATTTAACAATTTATTATTTCAGATCTGTTTCTCCATAGAGATGAAATAATTGAAATTGCTCATTTTGGAAACTGGAGAAGAGTGGCCAAGAAAGATAATGAGGCCTGAGACAGACATCATCACCAAAGCCATGTTACTGGAGGAAACAGCAAGTTAACAAATTAGATATAAAATACCTAATAAGATGTTTGGGAACGGACCACAGCCTCTATGGTCAAGTCCTAGATGAACAAAATCATAAAGAAACTGGTCTGATCTCACAGCTGGCCCTGAGCAGCATATTAGTCTGGATGATCTTTAGAGCATCCTTCCATCCTGAGCTATTTTATGGCTCTATACACAATTCTCCATTTGCTAAAACTTAACTGAATATTATTCACCCTAATAGATAAAAATTGGATGTCATGACTGTTTTTAAACTACTGAAATTCCCATGCAGAAGCATATTCTTAATTTCCTTTTCTGGATCTACCCTTTTTTCTAAGGAATCCTCTCCAGTTCCTGCTTTTGCTGGTAGTCAAACCATGTCCAAAGACAGCCTGCATGAAGTGACAGTCTCAGTACTGTCAGTAATRGGCTAATTAATAGCAATAAAGCTCCTCAGTCTGCCTGCTGCAGCTTGTCAAAGGCACAACCACGCTGCAGAATGGAGACAGCTGGTTTTGGGAAACAGCACAAGACTGCCTCACAGTAGGCTCATCTTTGACTGCAGTGTGATCTCCACAGGCGAAAGAAAAAGCAAGGTTTTCTGTGTTCAAACTTTAACTGAATAGAAATAGATGTCTTCAGACTGTATCTTTTTCAGCAGTAAATCACACCTTGCCAGTTGTGAGGGAACAGCCACAAATTCTCCAAAATGAGCAGAAGGAGCCATGGTGTGACTACATGCCTGTTTTTGCCCCTGCTAAAGGTGAAGGATAAAGCTGAGCTCTCCGCGTGAACTTGTGCCTTAGTGAGCAAAACAGATTTTCCAGCAATATCAGAACTCAGGAAACTCAGGTCTTCAGAAACAACAGAAAAACACAAAGGATCTGAAGGTTTACCTGTTCTGCACAAGAAGTCTGAACTTTACTATATAACTGAATTTATCCAAACAGAAAAGGGAACACTGGCCACCAAGGAACAGGCTTTGCTCAAACCAAAGCCAACAGAAGCTCAGTGCTACTGTATCTAATGATGGAAGGAGAATCAAGCAATGCTGAAAGCCAGGAATTGGCAAAAGCAACCAAGAACTGCTCATGCTTGCCTGGAACACTTTTCTAGAAGTATTCTTACTCTTGAAGGTATTTGCTATTACAAGGTATTTTCTATTACATGATTTGAAGGTGTTTTCTATTACATGATTTCATTCCACTAAAAAGGTTTTTGCAAGACAAATGGGGAACAGTTACTTTTCAAGCGACTTCTTAAAGGAGTTGCAGCTTATGAAAACATAAAAATGACCCCAATTTCCTAATTCTGTGCCATGTTCTTCAGCTATTTACCACTTGTCAAATTACTGCACTATTTTAGCATGTTTATTACCTTTTCTTGTTTCAGCATACATCCATTTCATACACAGTATTTCTGAACCTAATCACTAGAGCTGAAAAGCACAGCAACAATAAATATCCATTATGATACTGCTTTTTATCTCAGAGAACTGGTGCTAAATTCTTGCCATGAAGGTCAGTGAAGGTCTGTGAGTGAAAAAATTTTTGGAAAGCTACAACTGCTCCAGTCTAAATCCCTCCTGCCACAAACTTGACTGTCCTCGTCAATGTGGCAGTGAGAGGCTGAGGAGACCCAATTCACCCATTATGTATAAGGACAGGTTAAAAATCAARATACACTGACTGTTTAGATGTATTGGTCTCCCTGCTGTTAACAAGAAAGTCTTTACAGTTCTGTTAACATCCTGCATCTCCATGTGAAGCCAGGAATGTAGGAAGAAAACATAATTTTTATTATGATTTCTTCTTATTGTTGTACTTCAGAAGGATTTTAAAGTATGACTGAAGAAATAAGAACAAGGGATTAACTCTCCAGTCAACTGTTTTGACTGTTCTTGCCTAATTGTTGAAGTGAAATCTGATGATGATGAGATGCTGGTGATCTCACTTGAGGTTTATGTTCATGTGAATGCATGCATACAAACCCAAATATAGCAACTTTTACTGCTGAGTAACCTGTAGGCTATGTTTTTAGATATTCTTTGAGCACAGCTGCATAGCCACACACACACAAAAAAGAGAAAAAAAAAATAGAAAAAAAAAATTCTTTTCTTTACCTTTGGAGTTTACTGCACCAGCTGCAGTTGAAACCAATCTGGGCAGTGACACAGGGACCACAGCTGGTAAACTGGAGACAAGCTGGGATGTAGATAAATGCAAATTATTAAATTAGTCTCATATATATTTCACATAAAAAGCATAAAAGAAGAATAGATATTCTGATAATATATATATTTRCAAACTTGACAGGTTCACTCATGTTTAAACTAAGACCCAGCCTATTACCATGCTTCGTGCAACTGCATGCACAAAAATACAATTCATCTGTGGTACTCCATTTGTAAATGTATTCCTACTTCCACATCTGTTCATTCAGCTTCATTCTTAAATGTTTATCTTTTTGCTCAATATTAAGTATTTCCTTAAATCTCTTCTTTCCCTGGCTCCACTGTTCTTTGGTGTTGCTAATTTACAGACATAAGCAGATAAAAAGACTAACAGAAAAATAGGCCAGAACTATAACTGGATCAATAAAAAAGAAAAAGAACAGAGGTTTCTATTCTTTTTACAGTAGCACAGCTGGCATTTTAAACCCTGAGGTTTCTAAACCATGTAGTTTTACCTTGGAAAGAAGAGCCAGGTGAACTGCAAAATATTTGGAGTAATTTGTTTGGGGATATTCCTTTGTGATGTTATGCACAGTACACAGAAGAATTCATGTTTGCATTGCAAGCATGAAAACTGGTTGTTTTATTTTTTTCTTGAGGAAAAACATTAAAGATAATATAATCATTCTTCTGAACAAATAATTTGGCATAAATTTGATTCAAAACCTACTGGGAGCTATATTCCTATAAACTAACTTGAGATACATGAGGATGTACTGGATAATGCATCATCCATATGGGAGTCTTGGAGACGATAAATGAATCTGTTCATAATTCCAAGTCTACAGATAAAACAAAATATTTGAAATTGTGTATGTGTTGCTGGGAGGGAGAGGGAGATGCTTCCTAGAGCTGGCTCCTGCTTATGTAATGTTTTGCTTACTTGGAAGAGGTATCATTTCGACAGCTGAGAGATTGGTAATCTTTGACATCTGTAGCTCCACCCTGTGGTATTCATAAATTGTTCTTCTGCGGACATCTAACAGGAAAGAAAAGAAAAAAAATAATATTTTATTATTTTGCAGTTTTTACATTGTGAAAAATAGAGAGGGTAATGAATGCTCACTGCTCCTTGGGTGCACATATGGCAACCGGTTTCCTCAAGAACATATTTTTAATTTTGATTATCACAAAATAACGTGTAAAGATAGATATTTTTCAGTTGAGAAACCCTCCAACTGAAAAAATATGTACTTCTCCTGGCAAAGAATTATGAAAATGCTAAATGTGGTCCCAAGCATCTTAGTCATTGATTCAGGCAGAAATTCTAGAGTACACTGTCAGACATTTTAGAGTGTATTTCAAATGCTTGCTTTCTGAAGACATTTCTCAGCTGACAGACTTCAGAGCTTTATAAGCTCCCTTTGTCAGTTCTTGCCAAGATGTGCAAACAAAACTGATTTCATTGCTTAATCAAATTTGTTAGCTACAAGATGGCTCACATCTAAATGTACTAGACTATATTTTTATATTATAACATTATATTAAAGAAGACAAGTCTTCCTAACTTTACAYATAATCTTTACACAAGCTGACTGCACCTGAGTTTCTCAAGGCAGAAATTCAATTTAGTCAATGCACTGTTCTTGAAGGTTTTGAACTCACAAGCAACTATAAGACCCAAGCACAAGATAAATGTGAAAAAAATCACATWATTTCCCAGAACAATATCCTACAATGTGTTCTGAAAATTCCAGATTTTGTGTGCATTTGCAATAGACTGGTGAGCTTGTATATTTGCAAGTTAAAAGTACAACCTGTAACTCCCATCTGGCACAAGAACGACAAATTTCTTATGTGCTCGTTTCATATTTATGTTCTTTTTGAAGGTCTGCTAAACTAACTGAAATCCAAGCTAAACACAATCACTGACCCTGTGCAATCATTCCAGAGAGGAATAAAGGGTTACTACAAAGGACTAACCGGTTACCCAGGTCAGTGACCAATCTCAGTCTAYATGCAACAGAAGAAAAGTGACTTGTAGACAGTCACAAAATCAATCTTAGGAGGTCTTCTGATTGCCAGTCCTGTATGGATTAGGGCACACCTTGCTGCTTGAGGAAGCAGCTTTTCTGCCCTCTCTAGTCTCAGGGAGAAGTAGGCACTATTTCATTTTCAGACAATGATGTTTCTGTTTATCTCCAAAACAGCACCATTGACAACCACTTCTTGCAATTTATTTGAAACTTTGCTATAACTTCATCCTTCCTGGTAGCAGATTTCTCTTTCAGTGTGAAATGAACCTATAATTGAACAATTTTTATGTTTTACCTACAAAGCCATTCTGACTAGTTAAAAAATAGATATGGCAGGTGCCAAAGTTTACCCCAATAAATGCCTTAGCCATGTCCTTCARACCCAATGGACAGAAAGAGTTTTCAAGACCAAGCTAATCATGTGCTGGTGTAGGGAAAAGCTCTTGCCAGCTGCAAGAGGTTTATGCTCACAGGAGGTAGATCTCATAAAAGCCAAATCACAGTCATTGTAAAATGTCTCTGAAATGAGCTCCTGCCAATGCTGAAGGCTGTAATTTGTTTCCACAGAAATCTTTAACATTCTGTCCAAAAAAAA